GGGTAAAAAATAGGAGGTAAATTGATTTTGTTTCAAGAAAATTTGAGTTTTTGGGATTCTGAACAAATTTTATGTTAAATGATTATCTTGTGATTATGCTATTGGGGTGGTGCTAGATGAAATAAGTGTTCGAGAACACGGTTGAATTTTTGTTTTTTAAATGATTAATTTATTTTATATTTTCAAATTATTTTGATATGGTAATATTAAAAATACTATTTAAAAAAGAAAAAAATATATTATTTTAATATATTTTTAAACGAAAAGTATTTTAAACCGTGATTATTATCATATTTCCAAATATCTCCAAGTCCTTTGCTGCTGTATTGTACTAGGATGGATATGAGTTGTTCATTTTATTGGCATGGAGATGGAGAGAAATGAAATTGAATAGGAGGGCATTTAGTAGTATTTATAAGTTAGCTCATTATCTCGGGACAGAAAAGATGGAGATATAGAAACAATAGGGATTGAGGGAACATGTCTTCACTTCAAAATTGTCCTTGAAACAAATTTGTTTTATATTTTTGTCTCTTTATGTTAAACATGTTTATGTCTCTATATCTGTCACTTATATCCTAAGACATTAAATGCAACCTAAAGGATTTTGAGACATGAGATATTCAAAAAGTTTATTTATTTATTTATTTTGCTTTTACTAGATTCTGTGATTGTATGATATCTGTGGCAATGCCGTTGTGAATAATGTTATAAGTTGTTTCTTTGAATCCCTTCGACATGATGAGTTTTAAGTCAAAATCAGTAGCAGGATAATTTTTACCTAAAGGAAAGGCTGAGTTAAAATCTATAATCTTCCATGATTACCAAGTTAGATGTAATATTCTAAATGTCTCTCCAGGCTTGCTTGCTTCTGTACTTTTTGATAAGTACATGTATTTTATTCTGTCTTTTGCTGATTTTTGTTCAACTAATCAGGAGGCACTTTACCTTCACAAGTTGAGAGACAAAACAGTTCAATTCCTTCTGTCATCGTGATTGGTGGTGGTATTTCAGGGCTTGCTGCTGCACGAATGCTGCATGAGGCATCTTTTAAGGTTAGCGTACTGTGCATATACATGTACATATGAGTCTAGAGTTTTTTAGTTGTATGTTGGGATATAGGGTATTAATATGCATCAATTGGCTAATCGTTGTTGTTTTGCTTAAGGTGATCTTGCTGGAATCACGGGATAGACTCGGTGGCCGCATTCATACTGATTATTCATTTGGCTATCCAGTGGATTTAGGAGCATCCTGGTATTTTTTTGTCTTTCTCACTGATATTTGATCTTATTGGAACCTTTACCTTACTCTTGTTTATCCCTTCTCTTGCTTAGTATCTTGCTTATTATAGATTTTCACTCATATTCTAGCAATGTGATTGCCTTGTTTTTGGGAATTAATGCACTTTAAATATGCTGGCATAGACAAGGTTGATACATAATGTCGTTTTTTTTTTTGGGATGTTAATGCTCATTAATCATGTCTTAAAAACCCAACTAATTTCTCTAGAAGCTGAGAACAAGATCTCTTTTCTTCCTCATGTGTCATTTGGCTCTTTAAACTCGCTTTACCAGTGCCTGTAATCTGTGTTCGGTTTCCTTGAAATGTATTGTTTGTAAATGTGAAGCAATTGATAGATATATTCGTCAAGGTGTTAATTCATTTCATGTTACAATCTAGGCTACATGGTGTTTGCAATGAGAATCCCTTGGCTCCGCTGATACGAGGTCTGGGGCTTAAATTATACCGTACTAGTGGTGACAACTCTGTATTGTATGACCATGATCTGGAGAGGTCAGTCATTTCTAGTTTTACATTTATATCCTCTGCAATTCACTTCAGATGTTGCATTAAGCAGACTTTAAGTTTTCCTTTTTCCTTTTAATTTTATGTGTTTGTGGTTAAATTATGCATTTCAAATCCTACAGTTTTTTCGTATTCCAGTTCTTGCTTGTTTCATGGAGCAAATTGCATCCAATATTACCTTTGCATTATAGCTTTGAATTTTCATAACCAATGCTGTATTCCTGTATCTTTCAGAACATACAAGATCATACAAACATTGGCCAACTTCTTTTTACAATGAATAAAGTTATACATGCTCCTAATTGAATGATGAATTGATCAATAGGCCGCAGTCCTACCTATAATTTGGTAGAAAAAGCTTGGATCGAAGCTGCAATGTTTTGAACCTTATGATTTACGATTGTTCTTATTAATTTGGGTTTTGCCCTTTCAGTTATACCCTTTTTGACAAGGAAGGACATCAAGTTCCACAACAGATGGTCATTGAAGTTGGAGATACATTCAAAAGAATTCTCGAGGAGGTAGATCTTCTCACTAATTTCTGTGACGAGAACCTTTCTTTTATGATTAGAAATTACCCTCTTCTACAGCAAGCAAACTAAGTCCTTTGTTTACACTTTAGACTGAGAAAGTAAGAGATGAACACACCGATGACATGTCTGTTCTTCAAGCAATTTGGATTGTGCTAGATAAGCATCCAGAATTAAGGTATGGTTAAAAGAACAAAGTGTAACAAATTCAAGTTTTGGAATTTATCAGCATGGAGTTTTGGAACTGCTAATAGAACTTCCAATGTCTTTAGGCAAGAAGGACTTGCATATGAAGTGCTGCAATGGTACATCTGTAGAATGGAAGCGTGGTTTGCAGCAGATGCTGATATGATATCACTGAAATCTTGGGATCAGGCAAGTGTACTATTGATCTTCTGAATCTCTCCTAAGTTGCTTTGCGTTGTGCTGCAATTTGTCTTGAACTGTGTGAGGATGATTCTGCTTTAATGCACCGTTTGTTTCCTCACAACATTCTAATATGTCAAAAAAATGCTTTGCCTTAAAAAACACAGGTTGGCTTTAGATTCAGAATTTTTTTTTGCTTAGAGATAGCAGAAGCTAAGAATTAGTGAAATTTTTTTGAGAATCTTAGATTGCAGAATTTGCATATTGCAAAATTCTATACAAAGCTGTGCTATGTTAAGGTCACTTTGAGTGTATCTTTAGATGAACAATGACACTGTTGAGGGCACTTCTTCACATGTAGGAGCAAGTTCTTTCCGGAGGTCATGGTCTTATGGTGCAAGGTTATGACCCTATAATAAAGGCTCTTGCAAAAGATGTTGATATAAAGTTGAATCACAGGTATACTTGCTCATATCTTAATATTTTGGCCGTGTTCTTGCTTTCTGAATTGAAACGGTGTTATATGGTGCTTCCCGAAGTGAATGATTTTCTTTCTTTAATAAATTGTGACGAGTAGGGTTACAAAAATATCCAACGGGCCTAATAAGGTGATGGTCACAGTAGAGGATGGAACAGGCTTTATTGCTGATGCAGCTATCATTACAGTACCCCTTGGGATTCTCAAAGCCAACTTAATTCATTTTGAGCCAAAGCTGCCACAGTGGAAGGTTGATGCAATTTCGGATCTTGGTTTTGGCTGTGAAAACAAGATTGCATTGCAATTTGATCAAGTATTTTGGCCAGATTTGGAACTGTTGGGCATTGTTGCGCCCACATCTTATGCTTGTGGCTATTTTCTCAATCTTCACAAGGCAACGGGCCATCCTGTTCTTGTCTACATGGCTGCTGGAAGGTTTGCTTACGATCTTGAGAAGCTATCTGATGAATCTGCTGCAAAATTTGTGATGTTGCAGCTGAAGAAAATGTTTCCTAACGCAACAGAGCCGGTAAATTTCATTTAGCCCTCTGCACTGCCCTATAATCTCTGTTCTTGAATTTTTTCTCAATTCGGTTCTGATGTAAAAATGTTATAAACTGATATCATTGGCTCTGCTGGAACAGGTTCAGTATCTTGTAACACGATGGGGAACAGACCCCAACTCACTTGGTTGTTACTCTTATGATCTGGTTGGAAAGCCTGAAGATTCATATGAGAGACTCCGCGCACCTTTGGGCAATCTCTTCTTTGGAGGAGAAGCAGTTAGCATGGAGGACCATCAAGGATCTGTGCATGGAGCATACGCAGCTGGAATTATGGCTGCCGAGAGCTGTCAAAGACACCTATTAGAGAGACTTGGCTACTTCGATAATCTCCACCTAGTCCCTTCTAGAGGTGCAATCCATGATGCTACATTTCCTCTCCAAATCTCAAGGATGTGAAATAATTTATCCACAGGTAAATAGGCATCATTCTCTATGTTGGTGTTTCTAAACTTGAGAAGCATATGTAATATGCTGATATTTCATTCTAGTTCCAGAACTTGAACAAGAACTTCTCTACCTTTTATTATATCATCCTCAACATTGAGTCTCCATTTCGCTTGTTTTTCGGTACAAAATACATCACATGTGGACACCTGAATACTCATTAGGTCCGTTAACTTAGAGATGAAATCAGTTATATTCATTGTATTCATTGATCAAACTCTCATTAGTGCAGCAAAAGCCCTGCGTGGCCTCTGACCTCTAGTTGCAAATGGCTTGTATGATTGCATGAAGTATTCCACCAACTCAGTCACTGTATTATCTCCCTGCTAAACACTCTTCAGCCTGGCTTCCAGGGATAAGAAGGGTATCATAAATTTAGACGTTCATAGGAAGCTGTTAGTTTGAGAACATGACCTAGCTTTTCTCTGTAAACTATGCAAGCCATCCACTCATGCACTGCAGTTGAGCATAAGCCCTCAACCTTCTTATTCCGGCAACACAGCATCGACATGGCACCTAAGATCCTGAAGGGATTCAAAAAGGAATGTGTCCCTTGTTATCTTCAATGACACCTGACAAGAAGGGGCGGATTGAAGAAGCAAGGATTCTTATAGTAACCAGACACATTTTTGTCAAGCTATATTATAATTACCCCACAGAGGAACGAAATCCTTTTATCCGAACTAGATATCTTGCCTCCCAATGCCATCACAAATAGCTGGAAGATCTCAGGGTGTCAGCATCTATGGGCACATGGTTTCATAGAAGGGGCACTCGGCCATCACTGATTCGCATGACCAACAATCGTAAGAGTTGTTGCTTTGAACAATATGGAAGTCTATTTTGTCCACAGGCAAAGATGAACACAAGTGACAAGGATTCCAGTAACAGATATGGAATCCATGTGTTATTTGATACAAGATGGGTTTCTAGACCCAAACATGCATGGTGTCTGCATCGGTATGTTATTTGAAATAAGATACAGGCACATTATTTAACGTTGTAGCAGCTAAAATGACACTTGAATACCAAGTAAGGCCATCAACTGAGAGACAAACTCAGGGTGCCCTGGCCAAGCAGCTCCGGTAACCAAGTTCTCATCAGTGTAGCAGCGATCTATCGGATCAGGTTCTAGCCATGTTGCCCCTCCCAAGACAACATTCAGCTTCACCGTAGGGTATGCAGTACATTTTCTTCCCTGCAAACGTGATTCAAATTGAAGATTATAAGCCATGGGACATGTGATAGCATAGTATTTGTAAGTCTATGAACAGGCTTCCTCACAAGACAACAGGAAACTACCTTAAGAACCCCAGCAGCAGCTAAGATCTGTTGCCCATGGCAGATGGATGCAACAGGCTTCCTAGATTGCATAAATTCTTTCACCAAGGCAATCACTGTCTCATCCAGTGCCAAATATTCTGGAGCCCGGCCTCCCGGGATGACAAGAGCATCATAACTGGAGGCATCCAAACCTTCATAGGAAGCAGTTAGAATGAAATTATGGCCTGGCTTCTCACTGTAAGTTTGGTCACCTTCAAAGTCGTGGACTGCAGTTGGGCAGATATCCCCAGCCTTTTTCTTAGGGGAAACCGCATCAACATGGCACCCAAGAGCTTGAAGGGACTGCAAAGGAACAGTTACCTCATAATCTTCCATGAAATCCTGCAA